CTAGGAACTTTTGTGTAAATGCATGCTTTACCCCGATTTTATTATAAATAGATGATCACGGCACCCCATAGGGTAAGCCATTATTTCCCAAAAGTATCTTTTCGTATAGTATATTGCAAAAAATGTAAAAAAAAAAGACTAGGGGTTTTTACACAAATAGACTAAAAAGCAAAATAATACTTCGTATCACTTTTTTCATATTTGAAAGTCCTTTTCAAATACAGGTTCCATGAGTTTTGTTTTCAATAATAGACTCACGTATTCAAACGTGTGTTGAAAGCTAAAGTGGTGGGATGATGCATTTTTCATGTACAGCTCTATCACCAAAGGTCAAAAGTGGTTGTTTGATGCTTTTTATAAAGCAATATCAATGCAAACGCATACATTCATAAACTAAAATTTAAAATTGCAAAATGATACAAGCATCATACAACAATGTGAAGTAAAAAATGAGAAATATAATTAAAAATCGGAAAAGGTAATATAATTATAAAAATTTATAGAAAATGAAAAGTCTGAAAATTATAATGAAATCTGAATATTACAAGGGTAAATTTTCAAATAAAAATTTCAAATATATAAACAGTGGAAATAATATAGAACTTTTTTTCCATTATGAAATGATGTTAACTAAAAGTAAAAACTTAAAAAAATCAGACAATAATTACATTAAAAATTCTAAAACTTGAAAACTCATTAAAATATTATATATAAAAAATTAAAATAAAATTTCTAAAATTACAGAGGAAGTTATAAAAGATAAAAATAAATATATAATATGGAGTATTAAAAAATTAAAAAATATTAAAGATTTGATACCAAGACGTTCAAAAGTCTAAAAAATGTTAAACGAATGTAAAAAACTTAAAATAAAAACAGGTAAAGAATTAAAATAGTGAAAAAATGGTAGATAAATAGATAAAAATTGAAAATAAAATGAGACATGATAGGAAAAATTAAAAGTGAATACATACTTTAAAATTTTGAATTTTTACCAATAAAAAAAGTGAATACAAATTTAAGAAACACATAATTCAAAAAAAAAAAAAGTGAATACGTTTTTAATTTTTTAGTTAAACTAGTTACAATATTTTATTTCTTAAAATGGTAAATTATTATAAATTGTAAATATTTTAAAGAATAAAAAAATAGATTAAAATTTATAAAATACATTGAAAATAGAAATAAAAATTCTTCATAGCTTTAAAAAAAATCATTGTTTTATTATTCTAAATAAGTAACATAGAGAAGTAAAAACTTATGAACAACTAACATCAAATTCAAATTATAAACAACAATAAACAACACAATGCAACAAAAAGTAATATCACGCACCAAAAAATAACATTTTGCAACAAAATGCAACAATAATAAACAAGTTGCAACAAAAAAGCAATATTTTGCAACAAAATACAACACCTTGCAACAAAATACAACACATACAATATAACAAAAAGAAAGAAAAATAACATATAAACTTTCACAATTAGTATATAATTCTATTTATTACAATCATCTAGTATAATGTTTAGCTCATGAGATTTGGTTCTCTCTTCATCTTTTCCTCATTGATCTTCTGAATCTTATTATCACCTACAAGTGCTTATTTAATTTCCCTTTTATACGCCTGCAATGAAAATGTAATTAATTGACACACATATGACAACAAACTAAGCAATTGTGCCACACTAATCATTTGTAATACATCATTATGACTAGGAAATATGCATTTAGGAAACATACAGTAGGAAATATCCAAAATAAGCAACTGAAACAAAGTAAGAACACAATCACCATGACCACTAAAAATGCTTATTGGTTTCCTCTTTTATTGCAGAAGTTTTTGCCATTTTAAAAAGCACAGAGGGGGATATAGCTTCCATAGTGTCAAGATTATCAAGTCAACAGATATTATTACCGGGGGGGAGGGGGGGATTGAAAGCAATCAAATGAGAGGTGACTTTAATATATTTTTAATAAACCAAAACGTACATGAATTCCCCTACTCTTCTTGTGGCTGACTTTCTATTTTTTGTTCTTTCACTTTGCTCCTAATTACTTCAGCAAGTACAAGAATCATCAACATTGTACTATTTGTATAGTTTGGCAAAAATGAGTTCATAGATATTACAAATTCAGCAACAATGTACTATCTGAATATTTTGATATGAACTCTATTTTTACTATAACACAGTCACAAACCATCTCACTAATGAACCAACAAACTGCTTTCAAACTTACAGCCTCAAGTAAGATTAAATATGTCAAAATGCAAAAGTATAGTTTCATTAATCCTACATATGACACAATATAATTCAACCAGAGAAAACACAACATAATACATAAGGATATGAAGACTTAATACATAAAACATAAGGATATGAAGGCTTAATACATAAAACATAAAATTGATAACAAACAAAAAGTTCATTTTTTATTGTTACAATTTTAAGATCTACATTGATATTTATAATTCTATAAGGATTACTAGAATAAAGAACAATCTAAAGATAATAATTAAAAGGTCGAAATTGAGAAACTAGCTAGAGGGATGAAGAATCTCTACTTGTGTGCCTAATTGACTCATGTCCTTATTTGAGTTATCTCCATAGCTTAAAATGTTCCTGCTCCTATCCTAGGAATGAGACTCAACCAAAATTAAAGAAATAGGAGCATAATGATTAATAGAAGAATAGTGAAGAAGAAGGGAAGATTAACTCACTTGATTGAATAGTGGATTTTATATGCAATTCTCATCATATTTGGAAGATCTCGAGCTTACAACGAACGACATCGAATCAGCCGGAGCCAACTGTTAGCAGAGCTTGAAGCTTACCCGCAGTTGATGGTCTCGCTCAACCTCCTTCCCGATAGATTCCAGCTTGCCTTTGAGTTTTCGCGCAATAAGCTAAGGAATCCGTATATTAATCCTATCACATCTAAGTATCTTATTGATTTACCCCTAAAAGTGAAATAGAGATAGAGAGAATCGTTCTATAACTCAATCAATTGCTAATTAATAAACCTGCTATACCTACGGGAGGTTAATTTCGTTTTGCATCAGGATAGTTCTCGCCTAGACATCGGAGGAAGATCCATTTTCTAATCTGCAACCGAAACACATGGAGGGCCTCCACTCTTTGTTCCTTGCCTGGAGACCATGAGATCAATTGCATGGTTGTCTAACGACTCTGGGGGAAGGAACACTAAGACATCTCCATCAGAGAAACGAGAAACGAGAAAAGCCGAAATCCGGACCTCCGTCAGCTCTCCTGATTATTTCGACGACATAGCCACCAGAAAGGCTGATTGAGATTATTACTCTACTTATTTTGAACCTGTCTAATAGTGAAATAAAAAACTAAAATTGAAAAGATAAAAGTTAAAAATGAAAACAGAATCTAGTTGGGACATAAATGATATATGACACATCAGATACTTCCCTCACATTCCATATTATTCTTCTAACCTATTTTTTGAGGATGTATCCAAACTTTTTCTCATTTTTTCATGAAAACCCTACATGGGAAAAATAATTTGGAAGAGATGTAGTATTCAGGGTCGGCCCGGGCAAGGCTGCCCAGTCCAACCGCATAGGGCCCAGAATTTAGAGAGGCCAAAAAATATTAGTATTAGCCCCAACCCAACCCAACTTTACGTTTAACCAATTCCTGGCCACTCCCGATTTCATTCATCGCCATTCCCCCCATTCACGATTCACCCAACGCCCCAAGACCCCCAACCGTCAACCACCGTCGGCACTGCGACACAACCACACAACCCGGCAATCCACTAGGCAAGCACGCACGGAGGCACCACTGCGGCACAGCACGACTGCACCAACACACTTGAGCACTTGACCTCCGTTAGACCGTCACCAACCGCCAAAGCGAGCCGCCTAGCCGCCACTGCCCCACCACGACCCGCCAGCCATCTCCCTCAGACTCCCTAAGTTCAGTCACTCGGTCAATTCACTGAATCACTGATTTTCAGTTTTGTGATTCATTTAGTTGTTAATTCTTACGAATATTTGAATTATTGAATTGTTAAATTGTTTGTTGAATTGTTGAATTATTGTAATTTGTTTATTTTCTGGTTTTCTGATTTCATGTTTGTTGAATTGTTGCATTGTTGGTATTTGTTGATTTTTGAAGTTAAAGTAAACCATTATTTGAATTGATAATAAATGTGTAAATGTGTTTAGCAGTTAAAATTTAAGAATGTGGTATAAATTTATTTGTTAAGGTTTATTCCATCAATCCATAAGCCTAACACGTAAGAGAACTTAATAAGCCTATCGTTATAAGGCGTGAAACCATTCGTACAATTACTAAACTACGAGTTGATATGAATGTTAGAGTGCAAAGTTCTCAACCTTTTAGGATGTTTTTACTTGGACTATAATTCGTCCCAAACCATCAGACTTGAATAATTATAAAAATACAAAGAAACCTGACCAAACCAAACCAGTTCAAATCAGCAAATTAAAGTCTAAATAAAAACATCCTTACACAACTTGAAAAAAGGCCTAAAATTTTATTGTTGCACAGGGTTCCAGTTTTCTCAGCCAAATAAATTTCTTCCTTTGTCCTAAATTAATTACTCATTCTATTTCTAACTAACCACTCTATTTTAGTTTGTTTCAAAATTATCCATCAATTACTTGTAAAGAAAGAACAGTTATTTTCTCATTGGCATAAATTTCAATTGTACCATACCAGTTTTCACTTTTCAATCCTATGCCATTTCTTAATTACCTTTCCATTTTTTAATTACCGTGGCCTACCCCTATTGCCTCCTTCAAGCCACAAAACGATTTAACAAGTAACTACGAATAAATTCCCTAAATATGAGAAAAATGACATTCCAAAATATGACTATAATATTTTTTATTCGTAAATTTCTGACAAGTTTGGCATTAATGATCTTTTAAACATGATATTTTTTCTCAAATTTGGCAGATTACTCCTATATAAAGAATAAAAAACAAAATACTTCTATTTTGGAATTTAAAAACGTTTTTACTCATGTTTAGGACAATTTCTAAATAAATACTCATACTTCCGGTACGATTTAACACTTCAAATTTAAATGTCAGAAATCAAAGCATTATACTAAAAGTCATTTTACTTCATACTTTCATGGACAAAAAGAACAAAAGCACCATTAAGTCCTAAACTACAACCCTAACAAGATTATCCGGTGGGGGCTGATTGGGAAGTCAAACCCCGGTGGAACCAAAGCCGCCGGAGCCTCTCACGGTGGAATCAAGGTCCTCAACCTCCTCCACCTCCGGCGTTGCAATTCGCTCGATGATGAGCTGCGCAATTCTGTCACCAACCTTAACCTCAAAATCGATTTCGGAATGGTTGAACAATATCACCCCAACAGGTCCTCTGTAATCCGCATCAATCACGCCCGCTCCCACGTCTATTGAGTTCTTCCATGCCAGTCCAGATCGGGGCGCTATCGTTCCAGAAAATTGAATTTCCAAACAAGTTTCAATCATTCGATTCAATTTTGAAATAATAAAAAAGGATTTAATTCAAAGAAAAGCACTTCAGAATTCAGAAGAGGTTTACCTATACGAGCATAGGTTCCTGGAGAGACGGCGATGCTGAGATCGGTCGGAATCAGAGACTTTCCCCTGGCGGGAACCTTCGCCTCCGCAGCACTATCAAAACAAATACGCCCAAATTTTAAACGATTCTAATCAAATCAGAATTAAAAAGTAAGCAAGCTTTCTTCGGGTGTTGAAATTGGGAAATCCGAACCTGGAGAGATCGTAGCCGACTGAGAGGGGTGAGCCTCTGGAAGGCAAAACGGCTTTCTCCGACAGCTTCTTGACCCGGAAATACGGGGATCCGGAAACAGCGCCATTTTGGTGATGGTCAAGCTTCGGAATCTTGAGCGTTGGCTCAGAAATCTCGGGAGAGGCGGAGCTCTGGTTCTGGGCCATTACTTTTGACGACCTAGTAGAAGAGTGGCAGAGGAAGGTTTATATTTGCAATAGTGGTGAACGATAGTGTGGTTTGGTAGTAATAGTAGTGTCTTCTTATGCGGGAGACATGGTGAGTTTTCCCGGCATAATTGCAGTGGCGCCAAATGTTCCCGCCATTTTTCTTAATTTGTCTATTTACTTTTTCCGTTTCTTAAAATACTTTTAACTTTTCTTTTTTGTCCGTTCAAAAAAGAACTTTTTTTTCTTTTTTGGCAAAGAATTTGTGATTCACAACAATTCTTACACATTTTTCTCTCATCTGCACAACTCTCCACCACACAAAACTCACTTTCTTAATCCGTGTGCCATTTATACAACGGAAGTAAATTATGGGACGGAAGTAGTACTTTCTTACTTTTTGAGCTTAAATGGTAAAAGATAAATTAAATTCTACTACCTCTGTAACACAAAGATCTTCCCATTTTTACTTTTCACGGTCTTCTAAGTTGAATTTTGACTCTAAATATCTACGTATCTATATTTATAAAATTCATAATAAATTATCATTCAAATAATATGTTACACAATGAGGTATATGAAATAAATTTTTAATCATAACATAATGTGAATTTTGAATAATTAATGGTCAAAGTTTATAAAGTTTGACCCAAAAAAATCAAACTGAAAAGATTCTAGGGTTATGGAGGTAGTATTAATTTCTTACCTTCTTAATTTGTCTACTTATTTTGTCACGAGTCTATTTTCTTGCTTTCTTACTTTTTGAGCTTAAATGGTAAAATAATAGTTTTTCTCCTTTATTTTCTTTAAAAAAAAGAATGACACCCCAACCTTGAGGGCTCCACCAACCCCGACCGGACGGTATGTTGGGAGGATGTAAATTGGACTATAATCCCAATCTGACAGATAGATAGTGAAGTTCTGTCTCTAGTAATTGTAGAGGCCCTATGCATTTTTAGCATAGTAACCCCTCATCGCAGTTGCCGGGATTCGAACCCGAGGCCTAACCCTTGTAGCGCTCCCTTGCTACCAGTTGAGCTACGTCCACCGGTTCCTTTATTTTCTTTAAACTTGTGTCAAAGTGTCAAACCCAAATGTATCTTACATTATAGAAGGAAGGATGTATTATTTCCGAATTCAACTTATGAATGTTATAGGTCAATTCTTTTATCAAACATGTGCTTTTTGATTTTACACGCTAAATTGTATTATAATAAAAAAAAGTAAAGTAAGAAGTTGATTTTCTAGTAGAATTGGTTAAAATTGTTAAAAGAACTAATGCTATCTATTTTCATATAAATTTTCTTTATTATAACAGAGTAGTAACAATGTAATCTTCCCGTCAGAAATTCCTTAACGGAACGTCGTCCGGCCACCTCCATTTATGGTGCTTTCGAATGGAATTGTTTTTATGGATTTTTGTGAGCATTTGTTTTATGAAGTCTAAATTATGTTTATCAAATTTCAGCTTAAAATTAAATTGAAAAGCCAGTTAAATAAAATATTGAAAAGAAATGAGCAAAAATACATATAAAATGTATGTTTTTTAGTAATTTATTTAACTGACTTCTCAATTGAATTTTAAGTTTAACTTTGGTGTACCTCATCTTTTCATTCTTGAAAAACATGCTCACAAAATTTCATCAAATATTCCATCCGAAAGAACCTCAAATGGAGGTGCCCAGACAGCATTTTGTAGGAAATTACTGACCTGAACATTTATGCATTTAGCATAATTTTGTCATAATTTATCGTATTCAGTCAACTCCAATATCGCTCAATTAGACTCATGAACCATTAAAAATGAGGCAATTTGTCTTTTTAGAAAGTGAGTTTTTTAAATACAACCAAAAAAGAAAAGTGCATCAAACATTAAAATATGAATGGACTATTTGTTTTTTTATTATAAAATGGTCCTGGTGGGAGTGCGTATACCGTGCAACCGGTATACGGTGAGCACCGTATACCGGGACGGTTTTAAATTTTTTTTTTCCTTTTGTTTTTAAAAAATGGTTATAACTTTTTTATTTTTGATCTGATTTTTATAAAATTTATATCAACATTTTTTATTTTTCATGATCTTTCAAATGAGACCAATATTGCCTATGTAATTTTAACATATTAACATTTGTGTGTAAAATATGTAACTTTAAGTGTTAAAATATGTAACTCACGTTCAGTCAAGTCAAATGCAACTCGTGTGTATAAATATGTATCTCTACGTGTAACAATATGTAACTTTACGTAAAAAAATATGTAACTCGCATTTAGACAGGTCACATGCAACTCGTGTGTATAAATATGTAACTCGCGTGTATAAATATGCAACTTTACGTGTAAAAATATGTAACTTTACGTGTAAATATATGTAAGTCGCGTTCAGACATGTCAAATGCAACTCGTGTGTATATATATGTAACTCGCTTATAAAAAGATGTAACTTGCTTATAAAAAGATGTAACTCGCTTATAAAAAGATGTAACTTGCTTATAAAAAGATGTAACTTGCTTATAAAAAGATGTAACTCGCTCATAAAAAGATGTAACTCGATGTATTATCAAATGTAACTGAGGCCACTGATCCACTCCCAAACAGATTCGATCTTCTATTTCACAAACCTATCATCTCCCGAACAGATTCGATTTTTCTTATAATCCAATACTCATTAATATAATAGTTCGATAATTTCTTTAAATTACATACACAATATTGGTCTCATTTGAAAGATCATGAAAAATAAAAAATGTTGATATAAATTTTATAAAAATCGGATCAAAAATAAAAAAGTTATTATCATTTTTAACATCAAAAGCAAAAAAAAAACAAAAAAAAAGATGAAACTGCGTCGTTTTTGCAACCGGGCGCACCATCCTCATGGTGCGCCGGTTGCACCATATAATTTGCGTCCTGGTGGGAGACACGTATTCTACAAATACTTGAACCGCTCGGACCCTAACTATTGGAATACATGCCCCGCCCTGCCCGTTATAAATTACGTAGTATAAATTAACTTGAATGAGAAGGGTCGGCCTGGTCAACAACCAATAAGATATGTCAATACTACCTTCGTCCCTTAAAACTTTGTCAAAGTTGACCGGCACTATTGGTAGAAAATATCCCGGGTAGAGAATTTAGCAGCATTTCGGTACAGTCCAAAATAACTCCCGAATACAAGGGGTTAGTGGCCTATTTATAGACTATACAATATGCCCACTAATTAAGTGCTATGTGGGCTTGGCCCGATTAATCTAGTAATACTGACGTTAATGGGCCAGCCAGTCCAATAAGTAATTGAATAATCCCGGACCAATATCCGCTAGCCAGACTGTGATCTGAGCTTGGTCGGGCCAAAGCTCGGGTGTAACGGGCCAATAGTCTTGGACCCGGCCCATTATCCCAACACGAGTCCCCAACTCCCTTAGTCGGGTAGTAGACTCGGCTAAAAGGGAGTAGTTAAGTTGTTTTGGAATTGATCTGATTCTTGGTCCGGTTGGCCGGTCATTGGTGAGCCTTGAATTAGATCCAATTGCTTGTGAAAAGAATGAAGTCTTCCATGTTCCAACCGGGAGACCTCTTCCTTTGTTCATGATGAGGGGGTGCCTCGTTAAAACCTTACTAGGAAAAAACCCAGTGGGAAAAAATCCCAGTGAAGGAAAAAGAGTACATCGGAACCTTAAAATAAAGCAAAGGAAGGCTAGTCTCCTTGGTTCTTGATTGAGTGTCTGCTTTACTAGTAAGTTGAGATATGTTCCAGGAAGGCCAGTCCTACGGTTGTTTGCCAGTGGTGGCGGTCGAGCCAAGGTATGCTCGGGAGAGACCAGTTGCACAGTTGTCTGTTGATGACGCAGAACTGAGATGTGTTCGGGAGAGGCCAGCGGCTCAGCTGTCTGTCGATGATGACGAGCTGAGGTGTGCTCGGGAGAGGCCAGCAGCTCAGCTGTCCGCTGATGATGATCAGGCGAGGCATGCTCTGAAAGAGCTGGTTGCACGTTTTCCACATTATTCCCCGCTGCTTGCGAAAGGATTTGGTTTCCTTCGTCTGGGTAGCAGTCCGGGTCTTGTTTGTTCGACCAGCAGTCTGGGGTCTTGTTTTTCATATTAGCAGCTCGAGGTCTTGTTTCTCCGACTAGCTGCCCGAGGTCTTGTTTCTTCAACTAGCAGTCCGAGGTTTTGTCTATCCGATTAGCAGTCCAGGGTCTTCTGCCAAATTCAGCAACAAGGTGAGCCCTCCGGTCACTGCATCCAGCTGCAACGATCACCATCTGCTAAGGGAATGGAAAAGACCGGTCTTCACTTGTGAACAATGCTCGTCTGACGTTCTCAGAAGGATGCTGTGAGTAGTCCACCATGATAAGCAGTCCCTGTTGATTGCTATTACTACGGTGTCATTTGTCGTTCAAGTTTCCCAGGGTGGATGTGACTGAGAGCGATGTTTGGAGGGGGACTCCCTAATGCAGAGCAAGGGAGCGATGCTTGGACGATCCCTTGAATTGATTCAGGGAAAGAGAGCAATGCTTGGGTGACCCATTCCTTGTCGTTTGTTGAATCGGTGAGAGAGTTCTTTTGCAGGCCCGCTCATTCATGCCAGTGATCGGAGAGTTGCACCTATTTTTTCATGTGACGAGGAGCCCAAGGTGCCCCCCACCTGATGCGATTCGAGGGCGGTCGAAGTGACGTGTCATCTTAATGGTCTCCGAACATCATGGATGCTGAGCAAGGCGGGACTTCCACTTTGCTTCGTCTTGATGAATGATTGTTGACGAGGGTAGCATGTGATTGCATTCGGGCCTCCAAGCTATGCATCGATCTGTGCCTCTCTAACATTGTGAGAGTATCGCTTGATCGTAGGTGGTTTGGAAAGATAGACAATCTCGTTCCTCTGCACAAACATAGCCATATACCAAGATGACGAGCTTGACGTAGAAGATGCACAAGTGATGGAATCTCCACCTTGTGATGGCATGTGTGACCGACCATATATGATTTATTCTTAGGAGCGAGAGTCCCGAGCTCGGAGCTTGGGCGGGCTCTTGCCCATCGATGAGCCCATACGTAAGCCATGCACTGTCACGCACGCA